AAATGTTGAACACATGCGTGTTTAAAATCACCAATTCTGCAAGATATTTAATCGTCACAAAACGGCTTGCATGTTAAACATCGACTAATCTTTTCAGATCAAAGGAAATGTATACCTCATGTACCTGAACGCCTTTTCTTATGCGTGGGCGTTCATCTTTCTCGCCTTACTGACATCTCGCTACGCTATGCAGGTTCCGAAATTGAGGACTTGAGAGAACAGGGGATTACAATAGCTTTCTTTTAGGCAGCAAGCGGTATTTATCTTTCCCACTGGGCAGATGCGAATTCCAAGTTGAGCGACAGCGCTGATACAATCACTGGTCTTTTGATATACGTTGCCCTTGGTTTTGGCACTGGTCGGCCTTTTTGTTAAGATATTTACTAATCTCTATCCAATGGATCACTTGTTTCAGTGCTTCTTAATGTTATTACATTCACTTCATCAACCTTTGGAGGAGTACGAGCATCCATTGTGTTACACAAGCCCCTGGTCGAGTCACTGATGCACGCTCCCCTCTCATTTTTTGAGGAAACACCACTCGGAAGGATCCTCAGCCGATTAGCAGGGGTACGAAGAAAAAGAATATCTTTGCTTTTTTCCTCATTAAATGTTTTTAGGACATTGATATCATCGATACTTCACTTCCCATAAATTTGCGTCTTGTTGTCGATACACTTGCTCACGTGAGTTCAAAGATTCTTGGCTTGTTTTGGTTTGGTGTGTGAATGAAGTCTGTTGCAGATTGTGATGATTCTTGTCATCATCAGTTTAACCATGCCCGCATATATCGTCCTTGTGGTGCCATTCACTGTCGGTTATATTTTGATTCTGGTGAGTCACATTTGCTATCTATCTGGCAGTAAGCCAGGGTTCGGCACAAGGATGGCGAATGTCAAGCTATTGTGGAGTTTGAAGCAAAGGTGCGTATCGTAAACACACTTTCATATACGTATCCCAGCTGGTATAAACGGCTCCGCTCGACCCTGTCAAAATATTGTAACATCATCCTTATTCCTGAACCCTTTCCTGTGCCCACTTCAAAATGTCAATACTCTGTTCCTGTTTTGTTTTCGTGATGCATGCACACTTTACCCGCTGTGCCAACTTCCAGTCCCTCAGCTCTAACTTTGCAGAAAATCGATAAAATCGATGAAGGTGACAGACAACTTCAAAAACTAGTATTGTCTTCGTAATCAGCAAAGT